TCGCATGTCCGGTGGCGTAACTCGAGTCCCAGACAGGCGGCTTGAAAATACACCGAGTGTGGGGCCGCAGGCAGCATGGTGGTTGGGGGCACTGGACTCCTACATGGCCGACCAAGGTTTGAATCCTGGACCCGGAGGCTTGTTTTCTCACTGCCCCTCCCCCCTGTGTCCCTCTAAATAAATGAATAAGGCTTAAAAAGAAGGGAAGAAAGAAAGAAAGCATGCCATGTGCTTGTGCTTGCACGTCCAAAATCCTGAAAGGAGAATGAAGGATTGAAGGGTGGCCATGCCCCCTGGGGGGGGGGGCTTTCTGACTTTCCTGCTCTCTCTCTGACTGTCTGTCTCTTTCAGTCAGGCACACGACCCCTATTAAAAAAATTAAAACAGGGGCCAGCAGGTGGCATGGTGGTTAAGGCTGCTGGATTCCCACATGGCTGACTGTGGTTTGAGTCCCAGACCTGGTGGCCTGCTTTTTCACTTTCTCTCTATCTCTCTCTCTCTCTTGCTCTCACTGTGTCCCTCTCTAGTCAAGTTTAAACAAACAAATAAATAAATAAAGTTAAATAAAATAATTCTTAAAAAAATAAAACAAACCAAAAAACATTAAGAAAAAAAATTTTTTTTTGAGAGGTTTTTGCTATAGGGCGCATGCGCTTGCCAGACAGACAGAGAGAGACAGAGAGATAGAAAGTGAGAAATCACCCCCCAGGGGGGATGGTCACGCCGCAATCCCTTCTCCTCCATTCTCCTCTCGGGATCTTGGGCATGCATGCACACGTGCCCAGTGTGAGTCTTAAGCCACTGGGCTCAAGACACAAACTGTGGTCGACTACGTGGGAGTCCAGTGACATAGCCATTACGCTAACTGCTGGTCCCAAGAAAATATTTTCATTAAGGATTTAAAGTGTTATGAAAATAGTAATGAATAGATAAACTATATAAACTAACTTGTAGGATGATTTGCTTTTAAAAAATCTTCTGGATATTTTTATTTTTATTATTTTATTTTATTTTATTTTTTTGAGAGGTTTTCGCTATAGGGCGCGTGTGCTCGCCAGACAGACAGAGATATAGAGACAGAAAGTGAGAAATCACCCTCCAGGGTGGATGGTCACGCTGCAATCCCTTCTCCTCCATTCTCCTCTCAGGATCTTGGGCAGGCATGCACACGCGCCTGGTGTGAGTTCTAAGCCACTGGGTCCGGGACTCTAAGCCACCGGGTCCGGGACGCGAACCACGGTCAACTACGTGGGAGTCCAGTGACATAGCCATTATGCTAACTGCTGGTTCCCGATATTTTTAAATAATTGTATTATCTGGAACAACCTGAACTTTTTGTATAACTGAGAAAAAGCCCTTCTGATATCTGGTGACACGTCCTTCCCTTCTTCCTACAAGCAGAGCAGCAGCTTTTCCAGATTTTGTCTACCTTCAGCTTTTTACTTCTATCCAAGTCAGGGTAACTTCTAGCTTATAAATATATATGCTAAACCATTTGGTGGTATTCTAAAAGAGACAAGAACTCTTTGTGCTTTGCTGTATTATATGATTAGAAGCCTTTCTGAAGAGGAGGGAGGAGAGTGATCACAGGCGCTCTGTGTAGCTAAAATCGATTTCCATGTCAGGATTCTGCTAATAAGAGCCTGGCTGTCAGAGAGCTGTAATATAAGGGGTCTTCAAGGACTTACTGGAAAATGTGTTTTATGAAAAAGCTATGTCTAGATTTCAATTTTTTGGTACCAAAATAAACACATATTTCCATTTTTCTTCTCTCTCTCTCTCTCTCTTTTTTTTTGTTGAAGATTTTTTCCCCATGGGAACCAGCAGTTAGCGTAATGGCTATGTCGCTGGACTCCCACGTAGTCGACCGCGGTTCGTGTCCCGGACCCGGTGGCTTAAAACTCACGCCGGGCGCGTGTGTGTGCGTGCCCAAGATCCCGAGAGGAGAATGGAGGAGAAGGGATTGCGGCGTGACCATTCCCCCTGGGGGGTGATTTCTCGCTTTCTGTCTCTATGTATCTCTCTGTCTGTCTGGCGAGCGCACGCGCCCTACAGTGAAAATCTCTCAAAAAAAAAAAAAAAAGATTTTTGCCATAGGGTCGTATGCTCATTGAAGATAGAGACACTGAGAGGGAAAGTAAGATATCATCCTCTGGGAGGATGACCATGCCAAAACTCTTTCTCCTCCATTCTCCTGGGATTTTGGTCACACATGTACATGCGCCTGGAGTGATTTTCAAACTACCAAGTCCGGATTTGAACTGCAGTTGGTCCTGTGGGAGTCCAGTGTCTTAATCACCACACCATCTGCTGGCCCTGTACTTCCATTTTTCTATGAAATTTTGAAGTCCCTTTATATTTTCAGTTTCACTAAGTAATAAACTAAATATTTGGTCTTAATGTGTTAGTAAAAAATGATACATGTTTAGATGTATATGTAAGTTGTAATTGTTTATTGATTCTTATTTCTTTAGCGAAATCAATTAAGTCTGTGGGAAATTTGATGAAAGGAAGAAGTTACTCCCAGTGCCAGTCCAAAATTCTTTTTATTATGTATTTATTTATTTTTACATTTGTACAATTAGGGCATGTGTGCTCCCTGGAGAGAGAGAGAGGGAAAGTAAGAAATTACCTCTTATGGGAGATAGCCACACCGCAATCCCTTCTTCATTTTCCTCTTGGGATTTGGAGCATGCACGGTCACATACTTGGTGTGTTTTTCAAGCTTCAGGAACCGGGACTCAAACCATGGAGTGGGTCATGTGGTATCCAGCACTTTAACCACTATGCCACTTGCTGACCCTCTTTTCATTGTCTATTTCTCTGGACCCTTACAATTGTCTATTTCTCAGTTATCTTTGGAATTTTGCCTGAGGGTGGATGTGCTCATTGGAGAGCCACAGAGGAAGCTAGAGAGCGGGAAAGTGAGAAATCACCTCTCAGGGAGGATGGCCACTCTACAGTCCTTCTTCCTCCATTCTCCTTTTAGAATTTTGGGCATGCATGCATATGTATCTGGTGTCACAGTCCCAGGCCACCGGGTCTGGGACTCAAACTGTAGAGTTGGCCGTGTGAGCTCTAGCACGTTAACCACCATGCCATCTTTAAAACTATTTTCAAGTTTTAAAATTCATAGAACCAGGACTTACAAACATGATGTGTTTACATGAGAAACAGTCATTCATAGCAGATATGAATAAACCCTTATAAGTACCTTCTAAAAACCAGATTTGAGACTTCTTTTCCTGTTTCGT